GATGGAAGGTTACGTAGTCTCTAATATCTATGCTTTAATCAACAATAACATAGATATTAGAGTAATATCAGAGTATTAGATATTACATTTAGAACAGTAGATAATATTATAATATCTATGATAATAAGAATGACTGTGGTGACACGCCCATAATATTTTCATTAAAAATAGACATGGCAAGGTATGAGGACACCAACAAACTAAATAAAAAAGTGGAGTTACCAGTAACTTTGGTCACTTTGACTACTCTGGCTTGGAGCTACTTATTGTGACTTATGGGTATAGATCTTCATGATGCTTACAGGAACTACAGTTGTGCCGCAGTCTGAGTGGTATCTCTATGAATCTGTAACTGTTAAATGATATGTGGCATGACTAATAGGTATAATAACCTGGCAAATTGGAATTTAGACATCAAATGGAAATAATTAAGTCAGAATAATTATTTTTGACGAATTTAGAGGCAGCATGGTGATGCATGAGTGCATCATGAAAGTCTGCCAAGTCACTGATACCTCCCACTCCATTGCCAGTTAAGATGAATATAGCGAATCCTGACGAAATTAGAACGCATGGTAAGAATGTTTTTCATGACTAATATTTAGACTACTTTAGGCACTATTTCTCCAAAATAATTTTTATTGTCTAATAGAGGTGGGCGATATGATACCAAAGTACTCATATATCCGATACCAGGCCTCCGATACCAAGTACTCGATACCAAATCCTGGTATCGAGTAGTGAGTAACCACGCCCCACCACACCTATTTCATTACGTTTTAATGATGGCCACACCCCTTAATAATTACAAAATGGCGGCTTTTTTCCCTTCATTTTTATTAATAACTAATTATAACTTAATTGCGCATGCGCAGTAGCTGACTACTCATTCACTACTCGATACCATCGATACTGAGATTCAGACTACTTGGTATCGGTATCGATTCAAAATTTCTGGTATCGCCCACCTCTATTGTCTAAATTAGAGAGCCGAATTTTTAGAGAAATTACGGTACCCAACAAATAATTAATCATTAAATGGCTCCAACTCCAACATGCAAGTACATGTTTATCAATTAAAAATCTGGTTATGATCAGCCTTTTGTAATAAAATCAGATAGATGGTCAGTTATGATAACACATGTAATTTCAAATTTCTGTACAGGAACAAGTGAAACATTAAAGAGTATGGGTACAAGTGTTGACAGTGGGGAAATCACCACCACGATGACCTGCTGCAATAAAGAAACAGGAGCTGGGAAGAAACATCAACAAAGGATTAGGGGGATTTGGCTATGTGCCACAGGGGGTGGACACATTCAAATGTGGCAACCACTATATCAGTAATGGAAGTGGTTGCAAGTACTGTATGTATTAATGTTTCATTGTTTATAGGTCTGAAGGTCCTTCTCAAGTATTTCTTGTAGCAGCATTT